CCCCCCCCCCCCCCTGCTGAGCCATGGAGGAGTGGTGGGTGTTATGTGCTTTCACTGTGCCCTTAATTTGAATGCTTGTTTTGGGTTAGTGAGTCAGGAAGTATTTAATTCAGAGACAGCCAAGCAACTAGTATTTGAAAAAGGTCAGTGTTTCCTTCAAAGGGCAACTCTGGCTTTACATAAATTTGCCTCCCTCACCATCCAGAGATAGATCATGTGAGGTAGGTAGAAGGGAGAGGGGCAGATATATGTACAGTACATGGAGTCATTTTTTTTTTGTGTACATCTTGGCTTGTAAATGCTAATCTGAAAGAAACTGGCTTCAGCAAGCATTTCACCAGCTTAGAAGCACTTCGATGACATTTCATAAAGAGCTCTTGCAATCACAAATATGAGTAAATGGATAGATGTGATAGATATTCCTTTAACTGTGCTGTTTCTGTCCTCTGTTAGAGCCAGTTAACACCATCCAGTGTGTTCATTGCAGTCCTATGGGATGACCGCACCGGATTGCATAAATAAAGCCTCCACCCTGTTCTGGGGCAGGACATGCACTTCAGTGGTGCCATTCATTTAAATGGCAATGCAGACAGGCCTCCTCCCTGCACTGAATGAGTGGTGGGTACTGCAATGCCCTGCGTTCCAGTTCAGTGTGCTTGCAAAAAAATAGTGTATGCACGGGCCCTGAAAGACAAGTTGAAGCTTAACTAAAGTTACATTAGTAAACATTGCTACAAGATATGCTGTATGTCTCACCTGCCATAAACGTTATGTGCCTGCATCTTAATTTTACACTGACATCAATGTGTGCCCAGCTCAGTGTACAATACTGTCATCCATACTTGGCTAATGGGGAAGACGGAATACATCAGACCCAGGACAAGATGGCAAAGCTAAGGGGGTTGCAGACATCACAGAACTGAAGTGCATGTCCTGTCAAAAAGTTTTCTTCATTTGGGGGAAAGATTAAACCGCTTTCTGGTTTTACAGCTATGCAGGGCTCCATTAGAAAGTTTTACATAGTTACATAGTATTTGAGGTTGAATAAAGACATTAGTCCATCAAGTCCAACCTATTAGGATCTCATTCTAGGAGTACCTGTACCCCTGTATATTACGGTCCCTTAAGAAATCGTCCAAAAGTTTCTTGAACAATTCCACATTATTTGCTGAAATCACCGCCTGTGGCAGTGAGTTCCAGACCCTAACTGATCTTACTGTGAAGAACCCCCTTCGCCCCTTGTGCTGGAATTTTTTTTTCCACCAATTTTAGGTGATGGCCTCTAGTTTTCCCCTATACTTGTCCCTCAATTTCCCCAGACAGGGCGTGAGGGGGAATCTCCGGCAGCAACCCAGACAAAACAAAAAAAAACCCTCTTTAATTACAAGAGTATCCCTTTTGAAGACATTGCCTTACTTACTGTTGTCACTGTGGCATAAAGTTAGGGAGTCCCAGACAGCATTAAAAACCAAACAGGGTTTTTAATTCTTCCCTTCCATCAAAAGTTTGGCTGGCCTTGTACTTGAAAAGGAAAGTATGTCATAATTTGTGACATCTCTGGTGCTGACATCTTACCCCAGTCCTCTTCCAGATTCTGGCTCTTCAGTCACCCCCAACAGATGTGGAAATTAGGCTAAAAGCAGGTAAGAGTCCTTTATTACAGAAGACATAATAGATCCACTTTATGCAACAATTGTTTATGGCATTAGTGGATAAGACAGGAGCTGCCTATTTGATATTCTGTCCCTACTTGTACCATGTTAATAGATCACAGAAATCAATACAGTGCGTATGCAAATTACAGAATGTATTGATTTATGGCCACAGAATTGTTCTGGATTACATTCTCAGTAAGGATGATGACGCCGACAATAGTGTGAGGGCAGAGTGCATCTCTAAAGCCAAGGACTGCAATGGTAGCGCTTACATTTTTAAATAATGGGTTTGATGTTCAGTATCAAAATCTGATCAACTAGGGCCATTATCATAGGAAAGGCATCCCTTCTTTTTCCACTTCCCCAGCTCTGATATGTCGTTCCTGTTTGAATTCCCATCACTGCTGTGTAATCTCAAGCCAAGATGTTTATACACTCACGTGCTACCAATAGGACTGACGATTACTCTATTTTCTGGTTTAACATCTTCCTTGATCTGCTAACTGGACAGAGATGAGGATGCTTATTAAATGTTCATTGAACAGACCGTAGGCAGAGAGGTGACATGGGAAAGCTAAACTAGGACATATGTGCATCAACTGGCTAGATGTGGAGTGTTACATAGCTATGTAAATCACAATTGGCTATAGAAAAATAAAACAATCCTGCCAAAAAGGCTGCACTGAAATCTCAAGCAATGTTATCAGCCCTGCCACGTTTACTTCTATGGACTTCAGTCATTGAGCTACCAACCCTGTTTGAGTATTTTGACAGCAGCCAGTGGCCACTGTCAGAATACAGAGGGGAAAAAAAAAAACCCCAGATGGCATGGGAGCTAAATGCTTCCCCTGCTATCTGCCGATTCACTTTTTTATTATTTTGACAGCAGCTGCCCTCAGAATAAAGAAAAACTAAAACAATCTCGTCAGGTGCTCCTCCGCTGATTGACAGCAGCAGTGGGCAGGTGCAATAGCCAGCCTTTTATTGGCTATTGCCATTTGAAATAGCCAATAGCAGCCCAGCTATTCATTCCCATGCTATTTGTTGTTTTATATTTTTTCTTTACTGACGGCAGCAGCTGTCCAAATAAAACAAATAGCAACGGGAATTGGCAGATCGCATGGGAGCGATTGCTTTCCCTGCTATCTGATGGTTTTTTTTCCCTTTGTATTCTGACAGCGGCCACTGTGAATAAAGGCCAAAAACAGCCTTCTTTAATTTGGGAGTAATAGCAGTAGGGTGCTCAAAGGCAAGCTCCTCAGTCAGGGACTGGATCAACTCACAACCAGAGTCTCGGAAGCCACTAAAGTGATGGCTAAATCAGAGAATTTGTGGGAGACACACAGGAACGCAAAAGGTAACCACTGCAGTCAGAGACAGCAAATAACGGCGATTTGGGCCATAAAATCTTGCATAACAAGATGACGGCAGGCTGCAGATGTCATAACACAGTCAGTAGGCGCACTGCAAGCAGCCCCAGAACAGTTAGTAAAGTGAGACCTGGGAGCACCTGAGCCCCAGCAGTACTATGCATAGATCACAAATATGGAGGGGTGCGATCTAGGTCTCATCAACAAACAAATTTTAGGGTACAAAAAATCCTGTTTTCTCTCTTTCATTAAGGGACACAGGATTCAGTTAATCAGAAAGAACTGGGATATCCCAAAAGCAGTCCAATTGACAAACAGGCAACAGTAACAAAACCTAACCGGCCCCAACAGTAACAAAACCTAACCGGCCCAGGAAAATAATAGGACAGGGGGAAGCCTGCAGCTCGAAGAGCTACCTTCAGACCTTATGCTCAAAGCTGGCATTAGAAGAGGCCTGAACATCCACCTAGTAGAATGTGTAACAAAAGATCAGCCTTCCAAATCTGGAAAACATGTTTGACAATGAAAAGCCCAAGAATCACTCACAGACCTAGTAGAGGGCTCCTTGTCCTCAAAACCATAAGCTTGTACAATGATATGTCTAAGCCACAGAGAAAGGATGGAGCCAAGAAGCTGGTTCCCCTTAATGGGGACCATCGGGAATGACACAGAGTCAAGCTTTCTTGTGGAAACCGTGACTGAAGGTAAACCCGCAGAGCAGAACCTGCAACCAGGCAGTGAAGGGAATTTCATTTTAATGCACTGGCGCAGGACATAGATTAATCAACAATGTCCTGGTTGAAGTGAAAGGCCGGAATCGCTGTCTACACAGTAATATAGGGCATGAGCTCTAAGCACTCTACAAAAATAAAAAATAGTAGCTGGCACCTTTCACCTAGGTATGGTCCATTTGCCTAAGGTTTGGCAGGTGTACAGTATACTGCATATAGATGACCCAAGTCAGGATGTCAGATAGTTTAGAGTTGCAGAGGGATCTTACTGAACCCCATGCATTACGTGACCATTAGGGGTCCTGACAAACAAAAAAAAGAAAGGATTTCGGTACAGTTCTCAGTATGCACTAAACTGACATATTTCATGCGAGTCTATACAACTACTTGTTCATCTTATAGGTAAAATCTAATGCACATTTTGACTGTGTATGGCCAGATTTCCAGGATGCCAATTAATACATTTACATCGCTATCTGATAATAGCATTAGTGACCTTGAGGGCCAAAGTTGAGCGTCATTGCTCTAACAAGCGCAAACTGAGTAGTGGGAGTTAACCATGACTGAATGATGTACACAATGTAACTGGGGGACTTTGGCCTATACCACACTATCCGTATTTGCAATAACAACGGACAGAATGACCAACATTTTGACACTTGCCAGCAACTGAACTCTTAAAGAAATATATTGGATTGATAGATTTGTGCACTGTAAGAGTACATTTGTTTAGACACCGAGTGTGACCATGCTAAAGACATAGGAGGAAGTTCAGCTGTCTAATAAAGTGGGATGATAATCATCCAAGTTCAAGTGCTGACCATTATTAAATCACCTTTCATATTACCCAAGTTACATTAATCCCAACCCATGATTAAGTTATTGAGTAACGCATTAACTCATACTTGCTGACTAGTGAAGTTGGTCTTTTGGTAAGCTGTAAAGCAATGTAAGAGCTCTGAGATGTCACTGTGGGCACACCCTGGAGTCTTTGTCAGACATTTATAATTGCTAGGGTACCTGTCCCAGAATGATTGAACAGGTTCTTGGCTTGTTGCAAAATAACAATAAGCAGACAAGATAGACCAGAATTGGGTATTCTGCGCAAAATCGTATTCCATCTTTCCAGTGCCCCAATCATTGATATACCAGATTAAAGTTAATATTTAAGCTTTGTTTCAATGTACTACTCTGCTTTGGGGACACATTGGCGGGAAAATATAAAACGTGTGAAACTGAAAAGGTAAGAATGATAGGTAAAGCCTACCCCTTTAAAACCATGCAGAAATAGTACAGACCGCGCACAAAGCAGAGTGTAGTCTGCATTATTCTCGCATTTGCTGCATTAAAGTGCAACTAGACGGTCACGTGAGCACCAGGAACTCCACAACCAGGGAGACTGCAGGAAAGCTACACGAGTGACAGACCTGTAACAAGGGATGGATTGCCTTTCCTATTATCTGCAAAGAGGATTGAAAGCAGGAGGCCATTTCCAACAAAAGCAGAAGATACAAAACAACTTGCCATTGTGGTTCTGGAGAAGTGAGCTTGGTATCCAGTCTACTATGGACTGTGGTTACTTAGTCTCATTTGAGAGCTTATACCCGAGGGATTCCTATGCTACTTTTCATTGCAATTTACAATCATACAGAGAGAGTACACTGGGCCAACTACTGGGTGCAGCTTTTAATATTGTTTAACACCAATAGTAAACCATCACCATCAGAGCATTTTGTCAAGTGCAGTTCCACTTTTGCAGTCAAATTTGAGAAGCTCTCACTATTTTCATGTTTTCCCATTCGTACAAAAAAATTAACTTACCTTTTAATTGTTTCTTCAGAGGACCCCTTTGGGGAGGACTGTAAGCTATTCTGAACTATATTTCATAGAAGAACAAACTGGAGGGAAGTGAAAACATACAATGTGCCACCTAAGCCTTGAGATCCTTAACCCTTTTGTTAGGGCAGAGTGTGTTCAAATCTAGTTTACAAAATGATGAGATCTGCCAGCACAGTACAGAGAAGGTTAATTATGTTAAACATAACACCACAGCCCCCTCCCTAACATTACCTAGACGGGGAAGCTAGGTCGGATTATTAAGCAAGTGAAACGCAAGTAAAAAAAAGTAAGCAGCAATTTTTATTTTTTTATGTTTTGTTATGTGAATGAGAACATGAAAAAAATATGAAGTTGGTGTAATCGCAATCTGGCTGCAAAAATGGCAATGCACCTCAAAGGGACCACTAAACTCATGAGTTTAATCTGATAAATGCATTCAAGTACCTTAACTATAGGGATGCACCGATACCGATATTTCGGCATCGAGTACCGATATTTTTTTTTCCGGTACTCGCTGATACCAGAAGTCCCATTAAGGAAGCCAGGCGTAAAGACTCGCCACCCGGCTTCCCGATTAGCAGGGAAGCCGTCCCCATGCTTCTCGTCACTAGGTGACTAGAAAGCATGGAGCCGGCTTTCTGGCCAATCAGGAAGCTGGGCGCCGTGTAATGACGCGGCGCCCAGCTTTCCGACCAATGAGGAAGCCAGGCAGCACGTCATTACAAATTACCTTAACTATTAACAAAAATGTATCTTATTTGTGTATTACTCAGCTATAGATCCTCAAATAATCTCTGAATTGGTGCTGACACTGTCCTTCCTACTGGAGGGGGGGCTACTTTTGGTCCCCATGGTCCCTGTGTGTGTTGTATATTGGTCACCACGCCAAGCTCGCTCCTGGGATGGACTACAATCTCACATTTAGTTTAGTAATTTGTATTGAGATTGTAGTCCATCACGGGAGTGAGCTTGGAGCGGTGACTACTTTACAACACACAGGGACCATGTGGAACAAAAGTAGCCACCCTCCAGAAGGAAGGACAGTGTCGGCACCAATTCAGAGATGATTAGAGGATCTACAGCCGAGTGATACACAAAATAAGATACAATTTTGTTAATAAAAAGGTACTTTAATGCATTTTTAAGGTTCAACTCCTGAGTTTAGTGTCACTTTAAGCCACTAATATCCCCATAAACAAACCAACGTCATCCTAAACTAGTTTTTTGTAAGACTGTAATGCTTCAACATGCCACAAGAGGGCGCGAGCAATACGGCAGCACTAACCACAACTTATTTTCTTTGTAAACTGCCTGCCATGGACTTTGTTTCTCGATATAATACAGACAATGACACATTAGACATATGAATACTGAAATTACACCAGTGCAGAATTCTTATGATGCACAGGGACTGCAGTATTACAGGCAAACATTCGGCACCTTATTTGGAGAATTGTTTATTTCCACCCCCCACCCCCCCACAGCTGACGGAGACGCAAGAGAGGTTCAGAAATAAACAAAATGGACAAAATGAAAATACTATAATACAAAAAAAAAATAGAAAAAAGAAAATATGTATTTACAGGAAGGTAACATTATTCTGATGGAGGGAGCGATGAGCGCAGCAAGTTTGACATGCAAGAGTCCAAGGAAACCATTAAAAAGGCTGCGCACAAATGAAGACAAAGGGGTTTCGGAACATTTCAACTGCCCTAGATCACTACATTGATCAGAACCAAATACAGTCACTTAACAGGCCATGAATACATCAGAACGAGCACACAATACATTGGATTTGAACTGAGGCTTCACTTTGCTGGGATGGATTAGTCATATAAAGCCAAAGATGAAAGTGCAGGACATGCGACAGAACAGAGCAGGCCTGACATGGCCTTGTTCTGCGATTATTTAAAACTATCCATAGACAATTTGAGAAATAATAATTTATATATATAATTATTATTATCTCATCTTTGGCTTGCCTTCTGCGACATGAAACGGGAGAAATGGATTTAAATACAATAGACTATGGATATATAGCGAATAACTCACACACTGGCTTAGATCTAAAAAGTCACTTCACACCACAGAAGATATTAAACTAAAAAACAAGAACAGGAAGGAGAGCTGGTAAGAGGGCTGCACTGCTCCCCATGGGGTCTGGTCCCACAAGCTGTCATAGTCCGTAGCTCACAGGCCTTTACCACCACATGCTACTTTGAGCTGCAAGCAGGCCAGTCTGAACAATTCCAGGTTTCCTTATGATCCCACTGCCACCCTGATTCTAGTCCGCTCTTCCTAAAGGAAATGAGTCCGATGTCGAGGGCCTGTTTGAGGGATTACGAGCTCATGTGGACGATTCACCAGAAAAAGTTTCTTTATTTTATTTTACACAAATTCCATTCATTTGAGGTCTTTCAGTTGTAGCTGTGTCTGTTAAACATTAAGTTTATCCACGGTACAGAAAGCCAAAGTGAAGAAATCCTCTTGTCCTCTGCTCCCATCATACCTCAAGGAAGCGTGAGCTGGTGGCCTTGACGTGGAAAGGTTCTGACCACATTCGCCTCAAGTCACCCTACAAAACAATAATAATATCAGGTGCACTGAACAGGGAAAGGCTCATTTCTCATGACCTGCCTGCACTGGCAAACCGCTAGTGGGGATGGGACAAGGATTTAAAGTAATAACTCCAAGAAATGTCCCTCCAAAGTATACTAGCTAATGCTACCTGACTTCACATAATAAAGAATTGCATACAAATCTCATTTAACATTACCTTTCAGACCACACAAGTTTGGGTGGCTCTTGGCATGTACATAAAATGTGCAATCTACAGAATCTTACAAAAGGTCAATAAATTATGTTGGTCAACCATTTAAAGCCATGATCCCACATACTGGTGTGTCAGTCTTCAGCCATTGTTGATGTACTTATAAAAACCATACAGCAAATCGAAGGACCATAAAACTTTCTGGAAGCCCATTCAAAGCAGTAAAATATAAAAAGGTGCACACCTCCAATATATGGTGTAGTATCAGAGCTTTTTTTTATGGCTAACATTACATATAAAATATAAAAGTCTTAAGTAGGCCACACGGCAAAAAACAATAGGAATAATCAAAATACTACAATATACAAACCAAATACAACTGACTAGTACATAGCAAGTGCAACAACCATACATATAAATGGTTTTAAAAGTGGTGCCTACCTTTAAATAGGCCATAGTGAGAAGCGGTAATAAAGTAAATGGAACCAAATACAGCAAAGCAGGCTGGGCTGCTCTGTGAATGCGCGAAGCCACCGTTGCTGTTAACAGCCCTAATAAGAAATAAGAGCTAGATTAGCATGGCCATCAATAAAAGAGCACACTGCTATCAATGAAGAAACAAGTCAAATATGTAATATATAGATATATCACAATGTGTTTTTTACATACATATATAAGAAAAAACTCTAGACTTGGGTTAAAAGCCATTTGAAAACCCCAAAAGATAACAGTATGTTTGTCATGTTCACACATTTTAAATTGATCGGCATTGGTCTACTTACCCACAAAATACCCAATAAGCGTGCAATGAAAGTAGGAGACCTTCTGCATTCGCCCAGAAATATTGGCAGCCCCTGTTGCGCTACAAGCGTCAGCGATTGCCTGTTTTTTGTAATTATCATAACGCAGAACAAAGCACAGAAGTAGACCTGGCATCACAATGTCTCCGATCCCAAGCATAGAGAAGTGGCTCCCTGTGGAACTGCAGAGAACACAACACTTTAGTATAAGAAAAACTTATTGCGTTATAACCTAGCTCTTGCTTGCTAGATACCAAGCCACCACTTTTACAAAAAAAGCCCAGCTATACATAAGCTAATGGAATTGCAGTCATTTTCTGACACTTACCTAGGGAATACCAGTTTCCCTGGCAGCGACAATCGGGGTACATCTCTTCCAACATTAGGACCAAGGTGAAGCTTCCTGGATAATACATCCAGAGGATTGTCAGCAGGCTGGGTTGCCACTTTGACCATCACGTTGCTATTAAATATGTAGGCAGAGAAGAACACCTGCGTGGGGTGGGGGGGGGGGACAAAAAAAATGAACGATAAACTTTCACTACATCATAAAACTTATCCTCACCCATTTATGATAAGGTCAGTAATGAACAGACAGTTTTCAGTTACATGAGGATTTAAGTGTTATGTTCGGTTACATTTGACATTTTTTGCAGGAGAAAAAAAGAAAAAGTCAGTTATGCCTGAGCTGATGCTTGGTCTATCAATTCAGCTCAGATAAGAGACATCACTGGTGAAACATACAGTATGTTACTGCTCTGCAGAATGAAATCTTCCACATGACACCGACAGAAGAGCTGCACAATGATTACGGAAGATCCAGGTACGTATCCTGAGGGTATTGTCTAGTTACCTTATGAAATATGTAGTCTACTTTAGTTTGATGTCAGAACCACTTCTCTCCCCACACAAGTCAATGGGAATACAAAAGCATCTAGAAGCAAGTTAATGTAGCCTAGAAGGAGGGTAAATGTAGGTCAGAAAGAGGACAATGATATGTCAAGTGCATCTGCCAGTGAACTAGGAAGGATCTCAAACTAATCTCAAATGCAAGCTGCACCTAAAAGCAAACTGCATTTGTCCATCAACAAAAGCCCTAAACACATCTGCTTGTTCACGCATATAGCAAAAAGCAAATATGGAAGCAGTTAAAAGATATAAATTATGCAGACCTGGTCAATGACTTAATTTGTCTATAGGCCTAGCATTACAATGCACGCCCTAAGCGACTTTGACCTCTCTTTATTAGAGCAATTTAGGGCAGGTTCACACCATTTTCCAGACCAGATCTGGTCCAGAAAATGGTGTGAACCTGCCCGCAGTTCCGGTGCATTCCAGACCAGACAAAATGAGACATGCAGTATTTTTCTGGTCAGGTGCGGAATGGACTGCGCTGGTGTGAACAGAGGCCAGAAATAGCATAGGGATACATAAGGATGCATTTTGGGTCCGGAAACAGTCTGGTGATGATCTGGATGTAGTGTGAATGGGCCCTTAGGGCCATCAGTACTAACTGAGCATCATTAGAATTTGCTGCAGCATACTTGCATATTGTTGCTGACCATGTAACCCGTGTTAGAGGTACTACATACAGTAGGTGTACCTAAAAAAAAGCCAATTATTGTACCAGTGACCAAAATTGAATACTTTAATCACACCCTAGCACTTTTCATATCACAGATTAGGTTGTATATCCATTATCTGTCATTTATATAACATCACAGGATTCCCTTTTAAACTGGCTTGCATTTTGGTTTAAAGGTAGTTGGTACTTTAACCATGCAGGAGTACAAAACAGGTCCAGGTTAATGGAGGACCCACCAGCAGCACATACCTTCTATCCTTTGCTTCTACATTGCTCCATTCAGCTGCCAGGAGCAAAAAAAACAAACCTACACTTCTGGGGATGGAGAAGCATGTGGTCCCCTTCTTTTCATGTGATAATGCTGGTACTTGGCAATTGGAAGCACAGGCACCCAGGACTGGCACATGGAGCCTCAGCCCTGTGAGAGCTCCTAACCAAATTTGAGTGGTGGGAACAAAAGGGAAGGCAAGTATATAACAGGTGGTTGGGCTAATTTATTATCAGAGATCCCAGCAAGCACTAAATATACTGAAGAAATTATAATGTAGTATTTTTTTTAAGAGATGTTATAGGGATAATGACAAACGGGGGAAAAATCCATTTATGTTTAAAAAAAGAAAAATTCAAAACAAAAATCAATTTTTGTTTTACAGTGACCCAATGAATAAAGTGCACTTGCACCACTAACTTTATTGTTGTTAGTTCCTGCATCTTGCTCAAAAAAGGCAATTGCAAGGAGTACCCATTTTGATGACAAACGTGTTTTTTCAACCAGTTCCCCATCATGTTTCTGCAGCAGTTGCTTCTACCTATTACTCTAGGGGGCTGAAGGAAAGCCAATAGAAGCTTTGTAGTGGGAGGTCTCTGGTCTTCTGGTCAGTCTAGTAGTTATGGGCAGCAGCTGCTGCAGGATGAGGAGATGTATTGAAGAAGAAGAAGCTGCCAGGGTTGGAAGTCACTATCTGAAACTTGTATATAAATCAACAATGCAGGTACCCCTTGCAAATTACTTTAAGCAGACTGAAGGGACGAGTAAGAATGTTGGACAGGTATGGAAAGTACACTTGTCCTTTATATTAAAAAATAAATAAATTATAAAATGTACAAAAACCACACCACCGCTACTTACCCAAAAAACATCATATATAAGCAGCCCTGAAAGGAGCAGGCAGGACACCTTCAGGCTAGGCAGGCGCACAAAGGCAATCATTGCAACACAGAGTCCCATGGCTAGGGCTAAAAGGTAAGAAAACAGGCTTCAGTTTAGAACAAATCATAAACTCCATTAATAAGTAAAGCAGTCAGCAGAGTTCAGTAGATTTTCACAATCAAAAGTACAAAGTGGTGAGGTCTGTTATGGCAGCCCAAACTCATAACTCACCATCCATGAGCAGCCAGTGACCTGTCAGCACCCAAATAAGAACTAGCAATAGAGAAAGCGAAAACGAGAGGAGTTCTGCAACAGTAAAACGACCACAGCACCCAAATGATATCCTAAAAGAAAAAAAGGAACATACTTAGATTAAAAAAAAGTTAGGGGTATTGAGAAATTTAAAATACAACTAAAGGCTTCTGTAAGAAAGTCTAAACAAGTACCAAATCCAGCTATAATGGGGTGTGCAGGCCTCATACAGTAAACAAAATTGATTTTTGACTTCTCGAAAATCCCTTTTTCCCCCGCGTCCTAGGGGACACAGGATGAACTAATTCAAGTATATTGGGTTATACTGCTGCCTTCAGAAGATTGAACACTGGCAAACAAGCTTTAAGGACAGCCTAGTATAACCCATCCCACTCCCATCATACTCCAGTTTTGTAGTGAAGAAATCATAGAAGTGGATCAGAACAAAGTGGAGTTTCCTGTGCCCACAAAGTAAAAACAAAAAATAGGACTTTTGCCCGACCTGTAAAATCCTTGTCTAGGAGTAAATTCCAGGATGCAAGATGGTATTCTGCAACCATGGATTATGCAGCTAACTTTAGGAGACTGGACACAAGCAAACAAAGCATTAAAAGGACAGTCCTTTATACCTCCTCCTAACTCCAAACAAGCCTCATTTCCTTAGCATGCAATAACAGGAGTGGATCAGAAGATAGAGGAGAAAGACCCGTGTCCTGTAATAAGTTCCAAGAAACAGAATTTACAGGTAAGACAAAAATCTTACCAAAACACAAAAATTCCCAGCATGCTTACCGGCTATCCTCCAACAAAACAGATTACGCAGTATAACAATATGCATTAAAAACAGAGGTTTTAGTGGCACAACTTCTGCAAAATATGTGGAAGCCACACTGCCTTGTGAAGGCCCAAACTCTAGTCTTTGGGAGTCTCCATAATGGAGCATTTTTAGCAGTAGATAAATTGAATGTAGGTATGCCTGGAGGGAGCCCACTCCTTAAAAAGGCAAAGGGATGCACCGGAGGCCCAGCGCTTCAAAACATTTGCCGAAACCTCCAGTGCGTTCTTAAGCCAAATTGTGTTTTGTACTGTTGTAAGCCCTTCCACATGCGCCTTGCCATCAAGGCTAGTTATAAATTGTGCGGTTGCCGTTTTTGTTTTAGCAAGACAAAAATGTCCTTAAATCGTACAGGACACAGAATGGTACTCTGGACCCATGGGACATTAAAAAGCAGCCCAACTGAGAGGCAGAAAACACAGCAAATGACAAGCTAAGAGGCACCGAAAAAACAACAAAAAGGTACTGCCAGGGCCTACAGCTTACAGGGACACGTAAAGGACCTTACATAGGAAACCAGCATCTGCTGAGGCCTGAATGCCAATTTGGTAAAACCTAACAAACATGTTAACTGAAGACCAGATGGCAGCCTTGCAAATCCAAGAAACTGAAGCCTGATGCTGAAAAGAGCACTAATGGATCTATTGGCATGCTCCTTTATTGAAATAGGGAGAACCTTTCTATTAAGTCATAAGCTTGGATAAGGAGTTGTCAAAACCACCTTACGACAGTGGGAGGAGGAGAAAGCTAACCTATGCGTGGGCCTTAGGTATTGAGAAATAGAGAGAGTCAGAGCAACAAAAAAAAAGCTGTAGCTGATGGATAAATCCGAACAGCACTTACCACATCCGAACAATGGAGGAAAACTTCCTTCATATGTTTTGGTGGAGGACAAAGACAATGTCCTGGTTAAGCTGGAAGGAAGAAACCACCTTGGGATGGAAAGGCCCTCAGCATAAAAACGACCTCGTATTTGTGTAATGCAAGAAAGGGTTCTTTACACGTCAAAGCCGCCAACTCATAAATTCACCTTGCAGAAGTGATGGCAACAAGAGAGCCAGCATTGTGAGTAAGGGTAGACAGAGTACAATCCCTAATCAGCTCAAAGGGTGATCTCTGAAGGACTAACAGGATTAAGTTAAGATCCCACTGGGGAAGTTACAGGAGGACCAATGTGAGCGTAGGTCTTCACTAAGGAGTGAGAGGCAAGAGGACGCTGAATAAAAACCACTAAGGTGGAGTTAATCTTTGATGTGTATGATGGGAGTGGTAGTGGTTATACTAGTTTGTCCTTACAGCTTTGTTTTCCATTGCCCAATCTCTTGAAGCCAGCAGCAAAACCCAAAGTACCTAACTAAATCCTGTGTCCCTTAATGTACGATTAAACAAGCTCCTTTACCTTTCCTGAATGAGCCAAATCCTCAGATCAGAGTCAGAGGGTTTCAGCAAAGGAAGCAGCACAGTCAATCAAGAAGGCAGCGGACAAATATAGGTGTGGCCAGGTGCTGATTGATAAGTTACAAGTTTGTGAATCAGCAGTGATGATGCCGATAGCCTTGCCCCTCTGCAACATCTGTAGTGGAAGCAAGCACAGCCTACAGAAGTAGAGACTCTGCTCAAAGTTCTGTTGCAGTGCAGCATCATTGTCAAACCCTCACAAGAAGTTGCATTAGGTGAATTTAATTGATAGACCCAGCAGGTACTTGTGGGACTTTACAGGGGGACTAAGAAAAAAAACAAAGTGCAAACACACTTATAATTGAGCACTGCAGCACAATTATTTTTTTTTAAAGGGAGGCCATAATACTAATTTAACCTTATTTTGGCAGTCACTCATTGCTAGCACACTGAAATCAATGCCATGCTAATGAGATAACTGAAGTAGTTAAATCTGTCATCGGCAAAGAGTTTTAACTGTCCATGTACCCCTAGGCTAATTTACCATCACAATGACGTTCTATATTTAGCACAAGTATGGTGTGAGAATTGCTGGGAGTGCCCACAAAAAAAAAAACACACACACCTCATTCTGTTTTGACCATGACGTTCATAAGGCAACACTTAAAAGCAACTCTGAGCTTAGGGTGACGGGAGGACACTAGTTTGTGTCCTCCCGTTACCCTGAGAACTATGGGGAAAAGCCTTAACCCCATAGTTCTCCTTTAATGTCAGAAATGCTTACACAAAATGGACAAGCAAGTTAAAAAAACATGCCAAAAAGCTGAAGAACTTAAATTGATTTAGAAAAAAACAAACAAAAAAAAAGCAAAAGCATACAAAATAACTGATTGACAAACTGCCACACAGTTTATGTAACTGGCACATGCCTACTATGTCAGAAGGTTTAATAACCATTAGCTTGTAAGATATTTTTCTAGATCCCCACAGATACCTCTTCTGGGAACCTGAGGCCTCGCTGAGCAGGATTTTATTTTATATACGAGTAATTCACATGTAAAGTAGCCGAGAAATGATGGTAAATGGGGGCAGATATATGAAAGCTAAAACTACGTCTACTGCAAAAAAGTAGAATTGTTGTCCATCGCAAGATGATTGTGACTTTTATTATTTCCCAAAAGTTGAACGCTAACACCTTCTTGGTTGCTATAGGAAACTGCTCCACTTCTGCGCCAGGCATTTTTCTTTCAGCTTTCATAGCCGAGACCTCCACTGCTCCTTAGATGCCTACGTTTTTGCTGCAACTGGTACCTGCTTATCCTATGCTTTTTCCCCATTCAATAACACACAGAAGATAATGAGCATCTTTGATTTGGGCTGTATATATGAAATATAATCTCGCCATGTATAAGAGAACGGTGCATACTCACTTGTTCTGAGTAGAGCAGGGTCTGGTTAAATACTGGCACATAGGAAGCAACAGAAAAGCAAAGGCTATTGTTGCAAGAACTGAAAGAGAAAATTAAGCATTAGAAACTGACCACTATAAAGCTACAAAGGCCAAAATTAACAACCGAAATGATGCAAATAAACCGCACTTACCTGCAGTGCAAATAGTGAACACCACCTGGACAGAGTCAAAGAAGAAAAACATAACCAGAAGAGACACTGAGGCTCCAATAGGAAGGAACAATGCCTGAGTGGAGTCAATAGTCTGGATACCTGCAGATGCAAGAAATTCCATGTCAATAATACTTCAGCCCAGCACAAACATTATATTGTTTCCTCCAAAGTCATAATGCAGCTGGACTCTTCCAGGAGGACAGTAATCTCTAATTAAAAGGGTAATTCCACTTTCCCAGGTGAATTTGGGAAACCAAAATGACCCCCTCCAATCTGGCGCCCACCTCCCCCCCTGCAATGGCAGTCCCCATACTTCTTTCATGACAGAGTCACTACATATTCACATGTGCACTCATTACATAATAGGAAATTGAAAAGATGCTGAAAATTAGGGTTTGGACGGGTCTTTTCTGCCTGTGCGTGCCCGCTAGGGGGCGCGCGCGAGCAGAAAAAAAATGCCGTCTGGCGACGGCAACCCGCCAATGCGACAGTGCCGTCCGTACGTTTTTCTACTACAGGCGGACGGCAACTGGTTAAAACAGAGATGTACAAATCCCAGGAGCTCCGTGTGCTCCTTACAAATGACAGTTGCCTCCTAACTTTTACATTTGTCTCTAGTCTAGTCTTGGAGCTCAAAAGTATCGGTACATGTACTCGTACTTGTACCGAGTACTGTACTTGGTATCTGTGCGCAACCCTACTGAAAATAGGCTTGAATCTTCATAAACCAAAATATTAGCATAGCTTTCCTCACCAACATCCTCATAAGTAGTAAAGTTCTCAAATACTGACTAATCCAGCCAGACCAGTGTATTTTCCTGTGATGCTTTTAGAGTCTAGCAAAATGTCAGGCATGGACAAAGCACCTATATAGAGCATAACAGCCTTGTCTGTCTTCTGTTCATTGCATGCTCCATGGGCAAGCAAAACACTTGCATGACATTTCAGAAGATGCCAGGAGCCTGAAGGGAGATAAAGTGCTGCTAGACTGTATTTGAATCCTATCTTACTGAATAGGGGTAGGGGGTGGGTTATGTGCTTTTAAAGAAACTAAGTATGTTATCAACACTGTTATTTCTTACTATTATTAGTGCTGTTCCCACTAAACGTTCCCGGAGAGCCACTACCGTCCTTCTCCTTGTCTTGATTTTCAAAGTCCATATTAAGAGATCTTAAGATATAGACAGAAGAGATAAACAAAGGTTAACCGAGATGAACTGCAAGTAAAAAATATCTTTGCCTTACAAAATACATAGTAAAAGTAAAATGTTCATTTTAGACATTCTTAATGTTATTACAGAATACTCTAAAGCAGGTACATTGCTGATATTAGTATTCATTTATTGACTACCAAGATCAGATTTGGGTTTCCACAGTTGCTGCAGGGTGAAGCCAGTAAAACCTTCCTCGTTTACAGGTTTTTTTTTTTGTAAATTAAATAAAAATAAGAGTGCCCAATATCTATAGAAAAATCATCAGCGGAGTTCACTTGTTTCTTTTTCTGGTGCTAGACAGGAAAAAACTAAATCTTAAAGTGACACTAAACTCAAGAGTTAAATCTATTTAAATACATTCAAGTACCTTCACTATTAACGAAAATATATCTTATTTGTGTATCACTCAGCTGGAGATCCTCAAATCATCTCTGAATTGGTGCTGACACTGTCCTTCCTTCTGGAGGGTGGCTACTTGTGTTCCCCGTGTGTGTTGTAAAGTAGTCACCGCTAGAAGCTCACGTTTCGTTTACCATCAGGGGAGCGAGCTTGGAGAGGTGACAACTTTACAACACATAGGGACCAAAAGTAGCCACCCTCCAGAAGGACAGCACCAATTCACTGATGATTTGAGAATGTACAGCTGAGTGATACACAAATAAGATACATTTTTAAAAGTTAAGGTACTTCAATGTGTTTTTAAGATTTAACTCCTGAGTTTAGTGTCACTTGAATTTTTACTGGCAATGTACAGTTCTTCAGGCACAATGATGAATAAAACTGTGTGTTGGGATTGATATAAGATAAAGCAATTACATTATCTTTCAGTTCTGGGATACCATCGTCAATTGTTTTTTGCACAGAGAGAGATACCCAAGTCCTCACCTTTTTACTAATTCCCCCATAATCCTAACACTAATCCTCCTTTATGTAACCATAACCCTTTGTTTGCTGCAAAGAACAATGAAGCAGGAGAGGCAAATACGTAAAGACTAAACTTCCTGCACTGAGGCATACCGGTAACAAATCTTGCGTCCGAATCTATTGCTTACGATGACAAAGGGTTTAAAAGGTAAAGGGTTTCTAGTTACCAATAGTTGTCTACAGAAACCTAAAACAGTTCTTTTATTTTCTTATTATATACCAATTGGCTTCTACTAGCAAAAAGAAACCAATTCACACAAAAACAAAAACTGCCTGAAATATGAAGTGTGTTGCACTGAACAACGCAATTTCATATAACCTCCACAAAAGCACCACCAGGAGATTGTGCGTTTCACTCATGAAGCACAAGAGTAATTTAAAGTGTACAAAATACATAATGAACATATTGAAAGTCCAATGTTTTGAGCGCTCTTCGGGGGGAGATCGTGTGCGGCTCCTGGTAGATCCGAAACGGGGTGTCAGACGGATGTACTGGGAAAACAAAGAGGATAGAACGAAGCGCTATGACCTAGCGCAATGACACGGTGTAATTGCGCTAGGTCATAATTAACACATTACAGCTCATCAGTCCTTCGATGTGCAGACCACATTAGTGCCGTCCGTCCGTTTTTTTACTACGGGCGGACGGCAAGAGGTTAAGGCTTTTTTTACTTTTTCACCTGGTGATCCTGCTGATAACAATTCCAATCATAGCATGACAATACTCACTGGAGCAGCTGTGCATGACAACCAATAAACATCTATTCTTTCATTTTCAAGGCTTAACCGAACAAACTGAAGGGAGAAGCTGATTGGTTAATATGGACAACTACTCCAGATTCTGTCTGCTCCAGTTTTGATAAAATTCTCCTCACTGTATGTATAGGAGGAGCAGTATTGGCACCATAGGTTGCTCTCCTGATTTGAACTACAACTTCCCCTCTCCTCTTCCCAATTACACAGGAAAGGGGTTATGTGTAGCTCATAGAAGATAGCTAGATAGCCAATTACACTGTTTGAGATTTCATTCCAGTACAGTTAGTTACAAGCATATTACATTTCTATCAGGATCAAAAGGTAAATTTGTGTACATGCGGAAACTGTACATAGCTTGAAACCAAACAAGCACAAAAATGAATGCAGCCACCATATCCAAGGACTGGTAAGATGTAATATATTACATTTTAGGTCATGAGTAAGGCTCTATCCAACTTGCTGCAGCTTCTAATGCACACTGTAGAAGGCTTGTAGTGTGCAGCAAAATCAGAGTAAGCAGTTTAAGCATAGGAGATGGGCTTGTACAGCTGTTACTTACTCAAGTCTGAAGTTTTAAAAATAACACTAAAAAAAGGTCCCGTTCACACCTAGGCATTGCATGAATCACACGGTACAATGCAATAAAGGCATGCTATCACAAAACACACTTAATGTGCATTGCCATTCATTTGCAGCTGGGAGCAACATTGGGGTGCCAATTCAAGTGAATGGCAATGCCCCTGCTGCACTATAACGCATGTTAGGTGCATTGTGTAGTAGCATGCGTTAATGCATGATACCGTGCGATTAACAAGCCCTCAAAATGAATGGAGATATCCTTACTTTTTTTGTAACCTTTCAGTCTTAGTGCCACAAGTCTGGTTTATATTGCTTGAGCACCTGGAGTAGCAGTGGATGAATTATGTTGGATATTTTCTTTACAGCTACATTAACCCTACTTCACCTGGTGCTTTTTCACTTAAGGAATAGCACTCAAGTGCCCTATTTCTTGGTGGCCTAGAACATCATGTTGCTTTCTTACAACTGTGATGGGATTGCAAAGCGGAGCTGTCTTTTCACACTGCAGTATGCTATGCTACCAAGAATTAGGTACTTTAGTTTTAGGATCAGAATATCTATGATGGTACTCACCTGAAACTGCCATAGACTATAAGAAGGATTGAAATCAGGAATGTGGAGACTTGACTGGAGTCCACCAGGGAATATGCCCTTTAGACAAAACAAGAACAAAAACTCAGTATAAAAATACTTAAGATTTTAAAGCAGAACTATACACACTGATTTAACAGTTTCAAAAAATAAACATTGAAGTCCTTAAACATGCCAGTGCTGTTTTATTTACATTCTGCCTGCTAGCACACGTGCAGTCTATTCTACATTCAAGGCATGCCCCTGGTGATGTCCGTCACCAGGGTGTTCATGTCAGCTCTCTAAACATTTAAGCCCTCAGATGACTGGTGTCATAGATGATCTCATGTGCAGGACAATGGTGACTGCAGATCTAAATAGAGGATATGATGGCACCTTGTTTGGCTGTAAAGGATAGAAGGGGTATAGTTCCAGTTTAATAAATGGAGTGGACCAGCCCAGAAATCCAGGTACCCAATGAATCTAAGAAAAGCAAAACTTTAAAATATGCAGCATTGGCATTGACACAAACAGCTTTTTAAACTCCAAATGAAAGAATCCATCCGATTCTCTTCAAATAACTGATTCTAGACCTGTACATTGTCTATACTGTGTTACCATCCAACTTGCTAATTGGATTTCTTAAAGGGAAATTACAGGCAACAAAAAAAAGCAACGAGCTACTCTCATGAATGAAACAATTTTGAATCCCAGAGACAATCTTTGACCGATTATACACTGCTCAAACACCCAGTTTGTTCAAAAACTTTTAATAGGGCCACAAAAAATATATATATGATTCAGGCACTGTAAGCATGAACAGCATTTCATGGGCACAGCTGGCTCTGCCTCTAGATAGGCAGAGCCAGCTGTCCCTCACGCAGCTGGGTGGATCCACACAGAATTGTCGTGATCCGTCCCGGCTGCGACGTCTCAGTATACCGCGAGCTGCAGCTCCGCTTTGGGTCACGGGAGGATGCGAGTGTGTGTCCTCCCATGACCCTTAGGAGAACTACGGGGAAAAGCACTGACCGGATAGTTCTCCTTTAAGTTTAAAATGCAATACAGGTTTTTTTAAAATACGGTTTGCAAGAAGACCTGTCTAGATGTTGGCCGATGTTTGCAGTGCGGCCCCAACACAAGACAGGGTAATTTGCCTCGTCACAGATGGGCTCTGTTTACATCACTGCGCTGCGATAGGAAAACTGTGGCGTGCCTTGAAAAATAGTACGGCATACAGTACATTTATACAGTGCAGCGGAATGCGACGTGGAACAACTGCCTCGCACCCTGCTGTGCCCACAGAACTAAATGAAATGTCACTTGTGACATTACATCAAAAGTTCTCCGGAAAAAAATAAAAAACAAAAAACAGTGCAATGTGCTGGGATCAGCGCATTGGCACTGTATCAGGCAACAGTGTCATTTGGCCCTTAAAGTCTGTGTATACCCAACACTCTTTTTTGCGAAGCGTCTCTTGCTACCTAGCATCCTTTATTGCTAGGATGTAGATAGTTCCAATAAAGTACATTTGCACTGTATGGGTGTAACATTAGCCCACGACATAAAACACGCTTCAGACCTTGGACACAGGCAAAGCAGGTCAAACCCGGCCTTTCCTTGTCACAGCCTGAGAGCAAACACAGCATTTGAAAAGAATGCCCATCAACAAGAGCCCTACCAGGGATGCAGCGGTTGCAGCTAGAACCTGGCACTCCACCACTGTCCTGAAATCATTAGTCTGTATTGTTTTAGAAAAAAAACACATGACACTAACCAAAAATGTATCAGTACTTGTATCTGCGAGTACTTGAACAAGTATCAGAACTTGTAAAAATGGTATCGCTGCATCAATTATATATATTTATAAAAACAAAATCATACAATAAAACAGATGTACAATTCCCAGGAGATCCGTGTGCTCCTTACAAATGACAGCTGCCTCCTAATTTGTACATTTTTCTCTAGTGTAGGAGGTGGAAAAGCATCTGTACTTGCACTGAATACGGTACATGGTATCTGAACATCCCTAGTTATAATGTAGCAACGAAGAGATGTGAGAAAAGCGAACCAAGGACAAAGACCCTAAAATATCACAAATAAGCTGCTGCAAGAGAGAAGAATCCAAAAATAGTATAAAAGGATTCATCTCATTTGCAGCTTTTCATATGTGAACATGGGAGTTTATTCCTTGGGGAGAAGCAAACAGACGCTCTTTGGCTGCTACCAAGTTCTAGAGTGTCTGCATGTTTTGGGTGAAGACCGGTGATTCTTTCTGGCTTCTTATATTTACCATGTGAATGGATAAAGACAGATAGCACTTGGGGTGCTGAAGGAGATGTCTGAGGTGATGCGTAGACCCCTCTGGGCCGTTGGATTTGCAATTCTCACTAGCTAAAATCTCTCTGTTTTTTGGGACAAGTATACACAAGCCCTAATAAATGATGTGAACCTGTAAAACCAGATCCAACTTGCGATCGCAGCATAAAATAGTTGCAGGCTTTAATTTCCATGGAACTTATTAACAATCACATTACACATTTATGTAGGTGTTTCATAGTATGAACCCTGTAATAGATCATTTTTTAATAAGCACTGGGAAGACTAGTTATTTATTACAGTCTGTCCTGAAATGTATTTCCTGCACAACCAGTAATTTAAAGACCTACGCATCATGGTACATTTATGTACACTAGAAGTCCAGAGAAGAGGTACCACAAACTGGATGATCACATTGGTTCGGCATGTGCAAAGCATTTTAAAGAACGTCAATACATCGGCTGGGTACGTCTAAGCCTGCCTTTGCTACCGCTATCAGGCCTGCAAAACTAGGACACATGAAGCACAAATAGTACTCATTCATTTCTTTTCCTACTTCGTCCCAATGTCCTCGACTTTTACAGTCATAGCTACGCCATCTTTATTGTAACACAGAAGGTGTGGTGTTTTTTTTGTCCAAAATGTTTTGGGGGTTAGGATGTCAAAAGCAATGCAAATTGATTCCTCTGTGGAGGTCTGTAGTTTGTAGAATATAAAAAAAAAGAGGATCACTGTTTCCCATCAAGCACTGGAGGAGTATTGCCTCATTCATCCTTACACCATCAGCGAGCATACTCCAATGACATGCTGGAAGGTTAAGCTGCCCATACACCTTACGACCATCGCAAGACTTTTGTCTTGCGATGGTCGTATGCTTCTTGAAAGCTCGTACGATCTGCCCACCTCGGACGGGCAGATCGTACTTGCGATCATCGAAAACCCGCCCCGCTGAGGGACGGGCTTCCGATGACGGCAATGCAGAACGGGCAGTGTGCGCGTGCGCACACCGGCCCGTTTCGCAGCTATCGGACGAGCAGGCTAGAAACGTACAATTCTCGGCGGGTTTTCGAGCATGTTGGCTCGACACAAGACGTGCGACCGTACAGTAGAAACAGTCGCACGTCTAAGTTCACACTGCTCGATTCTCGTACGATCGCGGGATTTCGCCCGATTCTCGTACGAGAAGCGAGCAGTGTATGGGCACCTTAAATTGGCTCCTCTCTAAGTTGGCCCTCTATGTATGCATGTGAGATAGGGACCTTAGAGTGTAAGCTCCTTGAGGGTAGGGACTGATGTGAATGAGCAACTATGTAAAGTGCTGCGTACATTGTCGGCGCTATATAAATAAATACCAGGAATAAATAAATACTCACGTGAGCATGTCACTCTCCCCTCTACCCAAGTGTTCACTACCCCTCTACCCAAGTGTTCACTACCCCTCTACCCAAGTGTTCACTACCCCTCTACCCAAGTGTTCACTACCCCTCTACCCAAGTGTTCACTACCCCTCTACCCAAGTGTTCACTACCCCTCTAAGCTTTCATCTGCAAAAGATTTTCTGTCAGCAGTACTGGAGAGTTCCAGCGTTACACCTTAATGAGTCATGCCCCACTTCTCTTATGCCCCCCTCATTTTGTTAAGTGAAAGATCAGAATACTGGGTCCTTGCTCTGAACTAAACTGTCTTATTGCCTATGGTTTTATATGCTGTGTTACAGAAGTTATTAGAATATATAATAAGTTTTAGCTCAACTTTCTATCCCAGTAAGGGACCTAGCAGAAAAATAAATTTTTCACCTCCTCAGCATTTTCCTGTTTTATCTGTAAAATATATATCAAGGCAACTGGACTTGCTGTATTTTTCTTGAAGATGTTACACAGGTCATCCCACTAGCTTTCTCAATTCAAAAGTGAGAAAGCTAGTGGGATGATCAGCGAAACATCTTCAAGAAAAATACAGCAAGTCCAGTTGCCTTGATTTATTTCTTTACAGATGTACAGTACCATGACCTGGATGAATGAGAACCTTCACAGACATTTCTTGTTTTGTTGCTCCAATGACAAAATATTCCCAGAGTACGGTCTGATTTGCAAAGAAAGCACAGCAGAAGCTATTCATTTTCAGATGCACTGGGGCAGATTTAAGAAATAAACTAACCCAATGGGGATTGACTGCCCAACCAGTGTAGTAGTTTGGTAGTATCAAAACATAACGGTTATGTACTATTCATGACATATGCAAACTGCGGTTTCCTCTCATCCTTCCTAAATGCTGACAACTTGATAAAGTGATGCAACTGAGACCTTGTCATTATTTTTACCACCTCATGCACATGGGCATAGAATACTCTGATCAGATTTATAGTTTATATGGATCTGAATGCATCGGTATTGAATTCTGTGGGCCTATGCACACTGGGCTATATTGGTCTGCATCATAAAGCTGTCCAAAACAAAAATGGAAAAATCTGCATCCGAGAACATGCATATGGAGCGTATATTATACTGTGGGGGGAATTTATCCAAACTGGAGCAGAGTTGCACTGCAGCCAATCAGCTTCGGTCTCATTTTCAAATCTTACCTGAGCAAACTGAAGAGAGATGCTGATTGGTTGCCATGGACAACTGCTCCAGAATCTATTTGCTCCAGTTTTGATAAGATAAATTCCCCCCTGTATGCATGGAAACATTTCTGCTAACATTTACATGCATACAGCGCAAATGTACTCTATTGGAGCCTCCTGCATTCTATCAAGCAAGGAC